TGAGCTGATTCTGACTTCAATTTTTCAAGCTACAGCCATTTTAAGAAAACACCAAAATTTTGAAAAATACCCAAGGCTATAGCCCACTGGTTTTTTCCAAAAATGGCTCTGAAATCACCCCCAATTTTTATTACATTTTCTGATACATATTGATGTCCATATGCTGTGTAGAAAGTTTGAGCTGATTCTGACTTCAATTTTTCAAGCTACAGCCATTTTAAGAAAACACCAAAATTTTGAAAAATACCCAAGGCTATAGCCCATGGTTTTTTCCAAAAATGGCTCTGAAATCACCCCCAATTTTTATTACATTTTCTGATACATATTGATGTCCATATGCTGTGTAGAAAGTTTGAGCTGATTCTGACTTCAATTTTTCAAGCTACAGCCATTTTAAGAAAACACCAAAATTTTGAAAAATACCCAAGGCTATAGCCCATGGTTTTTTCCAAAAATGGCTCTGAAATCACCCCCAATTTTTATTACATTTTCTGATACATATTGATGTCCTTATGCTGTGTAGAAAGTTTGAGCTGATTCTAACTTCAATTTTTCAAGTTACAGCCATTTTAAGAAAATGTCAAAATTCTGAAAAATACTCAAGGCTATATAGCCCATGGCTTTTCCAAAAATGGTACTGAAATCAGCCCAAATTTTTATTACATTTTCTGACACAAACTGATGTTATCTGATCTTCATTGCATGAGATCTAATTTGCAACTGGTGAATAATAATTTGTATCAACCAATGGATCATCTATGTAGCACTGACATTACTGGCCTGATATTATTATTTTGGACACAGATACCTTTTTGGAAATTTGATGCAGCCTGATCCAATTTGTGGATAATCATATCATATCATCAAATAGTGTTTCACTTAACAGATCTAGCCTTTTTACTATCTTACTATTGGAACAAAAGAAAAAAGTCAGTTCTGTAGATCTATAAAAAATCCAGGTCCTTCTGCGAGGGCCCACGGGACTTTTGTATAAAAAGACGTGACTGGTGCGGGATCAAGGCTGGCTGGTTGACCGTAAAACCTAACAAAAGACTACTGTCACTGAGAGAGGCCCTGGAAGTTTTAAGCAGCTCCAAAGAAAGAGAATTTCAAAGATTATACAAGAGAAAGGGCAGCCTTTACACTAGATCTACAGCTAGGAGGAACTGAGCTGTAGCTGTTAGCCTTATTGGATACAAGATCCAGTAACCCGAGCAGATATAATTAGAGAAGTCTCAAATTTTAGTAAGTCGTGCATTGAAGAAGCTTATGTCTGATTGAGAAAGCTCATCAGAGCTGTAGCCTTCCTTTGCAAGGCCAGCCTCTTGTGGATCTAGACTAGTCAGTAGTATTGAGGTTTTTAGACAAAAGGTTTTTGTAGTGCTAAGATATCATGTTTTTTTGTCAATGTCCGGTAGGCTTGCTTTAATGTTGTCCTTTTCTTCATTCTCTGCAGGTATTTTTAAAGCAAGCAACATGGCATCCTTAGTAGAATCAGGAGCAGAGCTCCTGCCTCACTTAGACGAAGAGAAGATGCAGTACATGGCTTTCACTGAAGCGATATCATTCGCGGAACAGTTCGAGTCCCCTCTATACGACCTTCATGAAGAGACGTTTCGAGAGCTCTACCTTCGCCCTTCTCCTCCACTCTCTCCCGACGACTGCGAGCCGTCTTGTAGCCAATCACCAGTAGAAGAGACTCCAACAAACAGTCAACCGAACCAAGAACAGGCGAGAGTGCAGGACAATATCTCCACTGATGCTATGGCTGACTCGTTGATATCCAACATCATGGAGTATGAACAGATCATGGATGCGCTTCAAGAAGCCGAATTTGCTCTTTCCTCTGGTTCGAGTCAGCCTGCTGAAGACTTACTGATACAGGACTGCATGTGGAGTGCTAGCAGCAGTGATGATAACAGAACAAACTCGGGAGGGACTGATAAGAATAGTACTGATAGCTCCTCCACATCTCCAGCAACTGGTACAGAACCTTCTTCTTCATCTGCTGAGTGCTGTGTCGTAAAACCTTCTGCTGTCTTTCCCAACCTACATCATGCGGCACCACAAACTGTACGAGTACCTAACAATACTCCTGTAGTTCTCTCCAACAGACTCCAATCTATACAATCATCATCAGAATCAGGTAAGAAATTGTAATAATAACAATAATAATAATGTACAGTACAGTAGTGTATCTCTGTGTGTGGAGTAGGACCATGGTGTATTGTGAATCGTTTGAGAGAGAAGAGAGAGAGAGAGAGAGGATGTGGACAAGACAGTTTAGCTTTGTGGATAAGATGGGTGTGTGTCAGTTACAGACACTTTATGCAAGTCATTCACTGTAGATTAATATATTATTTATGATTAAGAAGAATTGTATAGTATCTTAATCTTATAATGTATAACCTCAGCCTAGACAGCTTCAACCTCACTGCAGTGATCTATACACACACAGTGTCCAGTGTGCTACATGTAAGCTGATAATTACTGATGTTATGTATAGTTATGTAATGGATGGAGGCTCTTCAAGATTAGGAGTGCTATGCCTCTCAAAGAATGAAAATTGTTTTAGAGAGAGAGTGAAGAGAGACACTTAAACTTTAAGGAGATCATATACTGCTAGTTCTCCTATTAAACAATAATACTGAGTCCCCAAAGCCTTCAGTTATGACAACCTATTACAACTCCCCTCCTCCTTTCCCCCTGGTAAACCTGTTGATCCCTAAGACCTACCCTCTTTCAATAGAATGACCCCATTACCAATGGCTATCCGTTGTACACAAGTACATGTATCGATTCATATCCTATAGCAGTTCTCCTGCCCTCAAAGCCCTCCTGCTAATGGCTGGCCTAGTTTTATGACAATACCTTGTGACTATTTATCACATTATTATGTTCAAGTGTTGAATGGTAGGACAGATATAGCAACTCCTCCCAGTTCTGTTGCTTCCTTTTCATAGAGCCAACTTGTAAGGGCAGTCGACATTGTATTACATGAATTATTGTCATTGTTACCATCATGTAATGGCATTGGATGAAAAACAAGTTTAAAATAGAAATTTTAAAATTATTAAGTAACCTCTTAACTATACTTAGTACTGTGATACTTTCTTTTTAATTAATTGTTCTCTCTCTCTCTTTTCTCCAGAGGAAGAAATTGATGTAGTAACGGTAGATCACAATCGCTCGGACTCACACGAAAGTGACGACCCACCGAAACGACAATCCTCCATTCTACAGACACAGCAGCAACACTCGAAACCCGTCAAACCAGTTTCAAACGTGCAGCACGGCCAATCAAAAACAACCAAGAAGACAGCAACTCCGACAACACAGGCTCGAAGCGTCCAATCCCCAGCAATAGGTGGAGGAAATAAAAGCACAGCAAGAAAGAAGAGAGCTGGGAAGAGACACTCTCGATTAGGTTCCAATGACGGAGGGAATGAAAGTGATGAGGAAGCACGAAGAGCATCACACAACGTCTTGGAAAGAAAGAGACGGAACGATCTTAAAAACAGTTTTGATATTCTACGGACTGGGATACCCGATTTAGAAGAAAATATTCGTGCACCAAAAGTTGTGATATTAAGAAAAGCAGTCGAGTATATTAAATTCTTGCAAGTTAACGACAGAAAGATTGAATGTGATTGGAGCAGAGAACAGAAACGATACAACAAGCTCCAGGAGAAGCTCTTGCATTTGAAGAAGAAACAGATCGTGACCATATAAGAGAATTAGATGCTCTTCTTTTTGGAGAGGAGTTTTTGACCAAGCAATCAAAACCTCGAATCAATTTTCCCAATTGCTATGCTTACTAGGAGTTAATTTCATTGTGGATTTTCACTAACTTTTATCTTTCTCTTTCTCTAACCTCACCACCAACACTTCCTCTTTCACTCTCCATTCACTCTCTCTCTACTTCAGCCACCAATCACAACAGCACCTCTAGGTATCAATTTATTGTGTTCTTGCAACGTTTTATGCTGCCACGCCCTCTCTCTCTCCACTCTCTCGTATCACTTTTAAAGTTTTAAAAATTTTTACGCTTGAACGGAAAGAACAATTCCTTCACTTCGCCCTCCCCCCTCCTCTCCCACTGTTGCTGTTTCAACGTTGTAAAAATACATTTTAGTAACAAACAATTATTAACACACACACACTCCTGCCTTGTATTATATTATTATTATTATTATTTGTCTGTAACTTGTAATTTAGACTTAAAAGTCACTTTTTGAACATATTTATTCAAATTTTACTTTAAATTTTAATTTTGAAATGCTCAATTGTGTGATCTACATAGCGTCTATCAAATCAAATGGTACTGTACTAAATGTCCCAATTTTAGCTGTTGTCAATGAAGGAGCTTTCAAAAGTTACATAGTCCCAAAAATCACTGATGTGGAGCAGAGATTTAAAAAACTGATCGTCTTCTGAAATAAAGACATCAATTTTCACTTTTGAAATAAAGACATTTATCTTTTACTTTGTCCAGTAGAGTGAATACCTGATTGCTAAACAGGAAATTCACTGCAAATCTAGTCATGATACCACCAGATACAATGACAATTTCTAATGTCTACCATAATACGGTAAATTGTATCTATACTACCCACCACTTAGTAACTTAATCTTACTATTAATAATTATTGTGCAATTGCTAATCTTGTCAGTTGTGGTGTCCTCTCAAGATTATGATATAACTGCTAGCAATAACATAAGGTTTGACCTTTAGCAGTACACTGTATCATATATACTGGTATTGAGTTACATGATGTAGCTCTAGTGCTAGATATTGTGAAATAATACAATCAGTAATCATAATAATAATAAATATAAATATAATAAGGACTGAATGACAGTGCAGTATCTAACTACTACTATGTAACAGTAGAGATTGGAATGATCTATGTAACTCCACCCAACTAGATCACCAAACCTATTACAACAGGAATTGTGTTCTCAATACACTGAATGATAGTTCTCTGGTCATTCATAGAGTAATAATATTAACTTATGAGTTTTGGTAAGTAAAATGAGCCACTCAGAGCAGTACAGACTACAATAATAATAATGTTGATAATAATATCAACTGAATGATTGTTCTCTGGACCAATTAGAAACTATAGAATATGATTTAAGAGTAAAATGAAGCACTCACATCCTTTTCTCTGAACAATACTACTCTACAGTCTATCACTGTAATACTGTTGTTTAACTCAATACATCATTGTGGATTTCAGCAGCTATCATTGTATCAAGTTATTGTGTGATCATTGTGTGATCCGGTTAGTCAAAGCCACCAAATCTAAAGGCAAGAAAAAATAATAAAAATAAAAGTGTCTCAACCTCGGGACATGATACTGAACAATAGTTACATGTTAAGCTACACCTCAACATGAAAACTCGTGTAACTAGTTTATACAATGAACAATAGACACTCAGTAATAATACTATGAAAT